AAAAAACCAAAAAAAAAAAAAAAAAAAGGGTTTAAATGAACATTGTATGATAAAAATAATTTTAATTCATGTTTAGTGATGTTCTAAGGTAGTGGTAAGTTGTATGTATGTCATTATATGACACATTGAGTAGGAATTGGAGCAATCGTTGTCCCCTCCACCATGTTTAAAGTTTATGGCCCGTCCAACTCGGAAACTCGAGTATCAAAATAATCCAGTAGTAAATGGGTCAAAGACGAAAAAGGGTTTAAGCATAAAAACAATGGGCCTCATTCATGAAACACGAGCAGAACGATTTTTTGTGTAAATCATTCGGAAAGTCGTTCTGACGTAAATTTTTGGATTCATGAAAATGTTCGTATTTTGAAAATGTTAGTTGGTACGAAATAAATTTACACCTGCTCCCTACCACATGTAAATGGTGCATAAAAAATTCAAACGTTCTGTATTCTTTTAGACAAACTGATGACACTGCATTTTTATGAACTATGTATTATAATGATATTTAACGAGTTTATTTGCCCTGTCCTTTTTTTTTTCTTTCATTTTTTACTCTTTAACTTTGGGTAAAACGCAGAGCTCATCACTGTCCCTTTTTACACAGCCGTCCAATCACAGTAGAGACTAATATTACATTGACCAACCATGATCATACTTGTACAACACAACAATAGAGAAGTTAATATTCTTCAAAATAAGATACTCGTAACATGTTACTGCCGTGAATATTCCAAATCATAGCAAACAACAAATGCAGTGCCTCCAAAGCTCTCTCAAGCACCACCAGCTGGTCGTTTTCAGAAGAGCACCAGGCTAATGTCAGCTGGCTAAAAACGCTCTGGTGGACACACGTTAATTTATTCATTTATTGTTAGGCATAGCCTATCAGTCTCTTATGCATTTATGCTATATAACTTACCAAAACCTGAGAATTGAGTCCAAGGATTCCACACCATTCCTAGATACGTAATTTGCGTAGCTGTAATTCATAGGCAGGGAATATGCTAATTGTGAATGAGCGTGCATGCGCGCCCTATTTACGAATGATTGGAACTCATTAACATACACACATTTAACTATTAAATCTGACCTTTACGAAGTATTTGTGAATCCGGAGGAGAGTTTTCGGGAAGGTCTGTTTTACGCGTAAAACGTACTCCTATATTTACGAATGTTTCATGAATGAGGCCCAATAAGTGTAATACTGCTTTAAATTGTTGTTTTTCCCCCAACCATTAAAATGTCATTCAGTGTAACAATCTTGTCAGGCATATTTACTACAAAAATCTATTTATGACATACGAAAAGACTAATTACTTTCACCCCAAATACTAATTAGTTGTAATTTTACATTTTTTAAATTTGCCACTATCCTAGGTTTTGCCCATTTGTCGGTAAGAATATTTTACTCATTTAAAACACAGTCAAATTTAATATGCTGCCTTATTCTTTTATATATTTTAATATGTACACGTCAGAATAAGCATGTTGTTTGAATTTTTACATAAATATTGTGTTACACCGACCGAATGACGATGTAACATTATTTCAACCAAATTTTGGCAATTTGACTCCAAAAACTTATTTGAAACCTTAAAGGTAGACACTTACATTTAATGTGCTTTCTATGGACATGAAATCACTTTTGTAAATTTCTTTTGATGCGGACATCTTAATGTCGTTGACCCAAATACGACTTGAGAGGCTGTTCATGTCCAATTCCCGATTAGGAAACTCGTATTTGCGTTAATTCGGATAGCACTTGAAGGCAGCAGGCTCCATTACTTGAGTGAAAGTACAGATACTGCTGGTTAAATTCTACTCCATTACAAGTGAAAGTTGTAAAGACAGATTTTTACTTAAGTGCTTTTAAAGTACCAAAAGTACATTTTCACGTTTAATTATTGTTGTATGTAATACTTGCATTACCTTATGCCTTTGAAGCAGCTTACAATACATTACGCCTAATGAATACACTGACTAGCTTGTCGTATCATTGGAATAAAGAGGTTTTAGAATGTTAAAAAAACAACAAAAACACTGCATTTTAAAGGCGCAAAAGGGTGATTGTCTTCAGAAACATTTTTTGTTATGCTGGTTGAATGTCTCTTCACATCCCGTTAGCAATTATTAAGTTAAATGGTCTAAATGTATTTATATATTCTGTGGAAGGCGTAGGACCAAGAAATGTTCGTCCAATCAAAACGCTCATTCCGAGTGTTTTGATTGGCTTTCCTACCTGCCTGTCAACATGTGTATTAGCATACCTCTGTGCACCCGGTTCGCGCAGACAGCATTTTCACGAGATCAGCGCGAGAATGGCAGACAAACATCAACAACCTGATCTTCCTTCCTGGTATTGTTGTACTTTTACTAACTGTACTATATAGTTTTCTCACCGGTGAATGATAGGGATGCTCCGATCTGCCTTTTTCGCCTCCGATCCGCCTTCCGATACCTAGGGTTCGGTATTGGCCGATACCGATCCGATACCAGTGAAGTTTTTTTCCCCCCATTTAAATAAATGTAGAATTTATATATCTCTGTGTGTGTGGAACTGATAATCATTCTTTCACAATCTACTAGATACAGACTACTTAATTATAAAGAAAAGT